TCACAGGGGGATTTATCAATTTTCCTGGGGTGATTGCAACAAAGTTCTACTTCTGCAATCATTTTGTAGCAACTTTGCCAATCAGTGCCAGCTGGCGAAGAGGCTTGGTTGGGAAGAGGGGAAGGAATGAGGGGGTGGTCACCATCTTCACTGCTGGCTGCCCTTCGTGCAGCCCTGACCCTTGGTGCTGATTGTCAGAGAGGTACTGGCAGGGGGGAAGAGGGATGAGGGGGCAGCTGCCATCTTGTCTGCTGCTCTTTGTGCCACCCTGCCAGCCAGCCCCTTCCCCTCCTGACAACAAGGACTGCTGGCTTCCACTGGAAGCTGGCAGTTTTTTGTTTTTTTTCATGAATTTTGCGGTTTCCACAAAATCCATGAAACTGAGAATTAAGTAGGTCCTGCTTCCTAGCTATGAGCAGCACTATGCTGATATGCATGTGCAGGCATGTGCTATCCAATTTGGCTTGGTCACTATATATCCCCTGCTCTGTACTAGCTACGATCACTGATTTTACTTTATTTTCTTGTAGGACAGTGGGGAACAACAGCAGCCTTGTGCCTGGATGTTGACATGGGAATAAAGAGCAGAGCAAATGAATGAATGAGAATGAGCATAGTATAGTATAGAGACTAAAGGTGAAAAAGGAGGGTGAAGAGTAGTAAGAGAAAGAAAATGAAATGAGATAGCAAGACAAGAAGGAAAGAGGAGAAACGGGTGTCTCCATTTGACAATTTGATCATTCAATTGATCACAGAGACCTTCAGTCTGTAGGGCTGTCAGTAAAGCACATTTTATAGGCAGAGTTCATAAAAAAAACACAACATGAACAATTTACTCTTCTAGCAATCATTCCTCCTCTCTCTTATTTTTAGCACCATGTCAAATCCACCCTATGAAATAACAGTTCAGATTTCTCACTCTCAAAATAAAGATAAAGCCTTGTCAGAATTCCCATATGGAATCTGTTCACTTTATATTTTTCTCCACCCATTTACTGAATGATTCAAAGCCCACTAACATCAGTTTAAGTCTCTCAATTACCTTCCACAGGTTCGATCAAGTCCTTCAACAAGATTCTATTTAATTACTAGGATGTATTACACTCAATATTCAGAGCAATTTTCATTGCCATCTCAATTCAACAAAATGATAATCATAATAAGAGAATGCAGCAGTAAGGAAAATTAGAGCAAATCTGAGAAACAATCATATTTCTAGATAAAAAATGAGATAGGATTATATGCCCTGCACACCACCTTTCTCCTCCCTCTCCCCATCCCTCAGCATAGCCCAGCATTACTGAAATGACTGCATAGCTGCACCACTTGGAGGATGCAGACATTGACTTGAAAAAGCACTTGAAAAAATGAATGAAACCCCATGAGAAAAGTTTAAATTTAAAGGAAAACAAAAATTCTGTTGGAGAGCAAGTGTGAAAAAAGCAAGCCAAAATTTGAAAGAGCATCTCTCCCAGTCTTCTCTACCATTCAGTTTCATTCAAATCTTACTGTACTTAATGGAAAGTCTACTTCTGAGTTCAACTGAATTTGGATCTCAGGAGGAGCTGGAAAAGCTGAAATGAATAAGCACGTATTTTTTCCCCTTCAATTTTCCGAAACATAATTTAAATTATAGGAGCAGAAGCAATCCTTAGCTGCAACATCGGTATTTTTTTTGTGCATATGTTGAAGAAACAACACACTTATCTTACTTCATCATTTGGAAGCATGTTAATGACAGAGCTTAGAATCCTTTTGCCAAGCTCCATGGAAGAAGCTTTTTCTTTTTCTTTTTTTTATATAGAAAAGGACTTTGCCCCCAAAGTGAGTTCATAATGGAAACACCATAATAAAAACAGCGTTTGGATGTCCGTTCCGTTAAAATATAAAACTGGTGAAATTCTTGTACAATCTTATTTGGATTAAAATTATTGTAAAAATACAAATCCAAGAAAAACTCATTATGTCTCCAGGAGGTAAAAGAGGCTGTGTATCGAGACTGTGTATCTTAATTTTCCTAACAGAGTGGATGCATAGCCAAATTTAATGTAGAGTGTACACACTAGCCCCCCACCTCCCTCTTATTACATGCTACACAAGAATTTCTGGAGTAACCATCCTGGGGATAAGACAACATCTCCACATCGGAGAGACATAACACAGACAGTAGTGGAACAGCTACCCTAACCCACTAATGCGGCACAACCGTGATCTATGACAGTTGTCTCATGTTCAGTTCTATTCAATCTATGACCTTTCTTTCAGGGCCAAGGTCACCAACTGTGATGGTGCTTGTTTTGCAAAGCAGTCACCTGCCCGTTGGGAAATGGATTGGAGCCAACTCATTACAATCTGGTATCTCATACTGAAGTAGAGAGTAGTTGTAATTGTTGGAAAATGTTGGCATTTATTCCTAAAATAGGCACAAGTTCAGGCAGCTTTTAGAATACTCCGCTAGCTGTCAAAGAATACACTCTGCTGGATGCTGACTACAGGGATGATACTGATTAAAAAATGTATGCTGGCAAAGGCACACAGATATAATAGTGATGGGTACAATATCAGATTCTAGGATGCAATGAGTAAAAATATCCCTTTGCCTGGACTTCAGAGTAGCTAGGGACACCAGCAGACTAGTCAAACTCCCTGATCATTCTTAAGACCGGACAGGGAAATCAGTTTTATTCCTACTGTAGTAGTTCTCCTCCCTGATAAACTATATTGTCTATATTGGTGGTTCTCAACCCGTTTTGACACAAAGCAACCGTTGGTAATCTTCTGGTTTTGTCTTGTGAATCATGTATAAGAGTGCAAAAATTGAAAGGCAGTTTTCAAAGGATCTCATGACACCCCAAAATGCCACGGCATCTTGAATGAGAAAAGTCCCACAGCATTCAACTTTTTTTGGCACTTCCCTATGAACAAGCTCTCTTCAATCTGAACATGAATGCAACTGAACAGGCATCTGGTATATGTAATTACTAACTTTCTAACCAGTCTCCAAGTCCATAATGGTTAAACACCTGAAAATAAGGCTGCCTACAGATGTGAAAAACAAACACCCCCCCGCTCCCCCCCCAAAACCAGTGCTTTACTTTCAGCTTGGGGCACCCCCACACCAAGTGCAGTGCATGCCTAGAAGAGGCATCACATCAGTTTGACCCAGCTCGTCCAACATCTGTATAGATCCTGCACTTCAGTGAGGCTTTGTGGCACTTGTATCTAAAAGCTGATTCAATAGAAATGCCAAAAAGCCCAGCAGAAGCACGCGATCTACACAGATGTTGAGCGAGCCAGGTCCAACTGATGCAATGCCTCTTACGGAAAGGTGCTGGGTTATTTGTTGTGGGGGGGGTGGTTTCCATGTCTGTCAGCAGACTAAATGTCACAGAGGCAGAAAAACATTATTAAGGTTCAACAGTTGCTAAAGTTCGACTTTTTGAAGGTCAACAGCTCCTCCATTTTGGGCTTGTCTTCTCATTGGTCATTCTGTGTCTACATGTCTCCTTGTTATCAACAGAACATTGCCAGAATTTGCCACTGCATCAATTTTACCTCTGCTAAAATCCTCATCTGCTTTTTCAGTCTCTTCTATAAACCAATTCATGACAGGATTCTCACATCCCAATCTTTCAAGGCTCTAGGATGGAACAAACAACACCCAGAGATATTACTTTTTTTCCATTGCCCTTTATCCCTCCATGCAATCTTGTCATTGCTGATGTGGAATCCTCCTCCTCTGCAACTCCTGTCATGGGAATCATCTAAAAACACTTCTTCCTAGTTTAATTTATGCTCCCCCATATCCTTCACCAAACACCTATACTTTTCTTCTCCCCCCTCCCTCAACCTGTGGTACTAAAGAATATTTTCTAAATGTTTTGAAAACATTGTCCAAAAAAGATAGATTCCTGCTAGTCTGCTCCACTCTTCCTTTTATATGAACAGTCAGGCTACTGAAATACAATAATGCTTGCACATTTCAATTTTAAATGGTAGCTATAACTTTCACAAGAAAAAAAGCAGACAAAGCAGATGGAAGAAGACAGTATCAGGAACTCACAAAATCATGTCAGAGTTGATAAATTTAATCTCTGATTTACCCGATTCAATATTCTCTGATGGGGAATACTGATGCTTCACAAATTGAAAGCACAGAGCAAATATTTCTTCTTTGAAGTTGAGAATGCAAATATATGGCATGTTACAATATGAAACACAAGTGAAAAGTAATTCATGTTAAGCTGTATTACCACCCTCAAAGGAGGTCTGAAGCTCACTGTTCTTTTTTTTCGGTGGCAATGTGCCTTTCCAAGTAATGTATTCAGATGTGTGCATGCTACCTTTAGAGCATGACACATACATGCACATACTGTCTAACAATTGGCTTTTAGTGATTAGTGATTAATGATTCCAAAAAAATCACTTATTATTAGTAAGGAACAAAAGTAAACATCCTGGCTTTTTAATGTTCTGCTTGTTCTTTGATAAAAAACAGGAATCCAAATAAGAAAATACAAAATGAAACAGTTTTTGCATGTAAGAAAATAAAAAAAAAAATACCATACACGTGTAACTCACTTGAGGTTTCCTTAAAAAGTGAGTGTAGGTTTCATTTGGAGTGTTTGCACATGCATTAAACATGCATGAAGACAGAGACGCACAAATGTAAATACGTTTTACAGAAAGATCTGCATGAGAAATGGGACCCGCAAAGGCCTTGTATAAAAGAAACATTAAAATTCTTGGTTACCCAGCTGCAAGACACTTCTATCTATAACACAGATTAAATAAATCATCCACTGTCATGCTGGATTAGAAAGAGACAGATACTAATGATTGAACACACTCTATAGAACACGGGAAATTAGAAAAGCTTGACAAATATGGTTAGTGGTAGCACGGCCCCATTCCGAAGAATCAGAAAAAAATCTGTTACAAACAGCAGAGTCAGTGGCAAGAGAGAGAAAGACTGCTACAGGCTTGAGAGGTCCACTTACTGACGCTGCCACAGACTGCCATGCAGTATTCCTCAGAGTCAAAGTTGTTGCGGTTCCCACCACATCCGCCGTAAAAGAATGGTGCACATTTTCCTTCAGTCACATCAAAGTACCAGCGGGAGATCATTGCTCGGCAAGGACCAGTCTCAGCTTGTTCAGAGCACACCTCTAATTATAGGAGATGTGGAGGAACTATGTTTAGCATGAAAAATATATTGTGTTGCTGTTCATCTATACAAGTTTACTACATTTCTCTTTTACATTATTATTAGCCAGGAAGCAGATGTCTTGAGGAAGCATCTAAACAAACTTCCACAAAATAATTCATTTACTACAGCTTTAACTTCCCCTCTATACATTTGCTTTAGGACAATGGAAGCATATTTTCCACAGGATGAACATAATCAAATCCCTTAACAGCATTAGGTCTGCCCTACTTACAATTTTTTTTTTTTTTATCTTTGTCAGTGGGACATGCAAAATTTATTGAAGTTGTTATGCTAGTACAAGACCTCACTTGGACAAAATTATATCAGTGTAGTATGTTCCACATCCCTTACAGAAATAAGTTATGTAGGCATAAACTTACACTTGAATAACTGTGTCTACACTAATGGAAGGGAGAGGGGTTGTATTGCTTTAACTATAGTTAAAGTAGAAATTGGCTAGCACATAAAGGTAAAATAGATTTAAAAGACTTGAGATGACTTCTTAGCTTATACAAGACTATACAGACATTACAGAAATCAAATCTCTTCCATATGCATATATAATCACTTTGAATGAAATTTCTTCCTATGATGAGGCCCTGTGCAAGGCTTGAGTCTTAAATCCATAGGGCCTCAAGGATTTTAAGTTTTGCATAGGTCTGACACTCACTCTGTCAATGGGAGCAACTCACATCTTTACTCAAATAAAAAAAAGCAAAACAAAATTAAATAATATTTTATGCTTTTAGTTTTCCCTTTGAAACTTGTTTAAAATGTGGGGAACTTAGGTGAACAAATTAAGGACAGGAAATTGGAAGTAAATGGTAGAAGTCTACCTGTAAATTTGAATTCAGCCAACCACATGCGTACATACAGGACCCTTTACCAATAATGTTCCAAACAGCTTCAACATTCAATGTGCTATATATCATTTGCAAAATTGCATTCCACTAAAACATTGGCATATTCCACAATCTTCTTTTGCATCTCTCACACTAGATTCCAAATATTGACAGACAACTGATAAGCCCATTATAACAGTTTCCAAATTTACTTAGCAAATCTTAATTCTGTGCAAGGTTGACCCATTCATGTGGAGATGTGGTTTTACACTTGTCTGAATCAGACCCTGCACGCATTTAAAGTCCCATCCCACTCATCAAGTACAAGAGGCTCTTCCTGGCATTGGCCCAGATTCCATTTGGATGCTCCACTGCCTTTTTTCTTCTAAGCTGTTTGTTTTAGCTCTGTTTATTGTGTAAACCTTCCCACCACCTTTCTGCAAAGCATATTTTGTATCAAATTGCCATAAGCAATCAACTTGTATTCTACACCTTCCCCCTACACAAGTAGTTAGGGTTCCAATTTTTGTAATATATATCTAATTTATTTTCAAGAGTTTATAATGGGTCTGAGGTTATGTATTTATTTACCCAGTTTAGTTTGTGGACATGAATGAAGGTGGGGCAGAAGAATGCTAGTCCTTTACTTTTAAAAATGAGGGAAACTGATTAATTTTAGACAGTATTTTCGACATGATTTACTCCAGACAGATTTTAAAATAAAAGCCAACCCCACAACCCAAGGATACAGTTATATGCCACAAAGTAAATTTTGCAGGACCTCGTACTTAGAAAGGAGTTACCACCAAATACATTTTAAAAATGAATTAAGGGCACATTGATTGACATTAAAAAGGCCAAGAACCAAGAACTTTTTTGCTGATAATATTTTTTCAGAATCACAGGGTCATCTTGGCAACTCGTCAGTCTATTTTAAAATTAATTTACTTAATGTGACTGTAGGTTGACCTCAATCTGTAAAGAAATTAATGCCTTCTAGAAGTCCCTTGATGCTGCTAAATTTACTAAGTCTGAGTCATTTTAACATTTATATTTCCCACACACAACAGTTTGAGGAACTTTTGTAGACTTAGTTTCTATTTCCTTTTTTAATATATTGCTTTCTCTGTATCTGTACACACACATGCATACGTACACACATACATACATATGTATGTGTATGTTAAACAGAGAAATTATAAAAACAAGTATGTACAGAGCTTTCCACATTTTTATTTCATACATAGCGTGTAAAAAAGAAAAGTGATAGCCCAACAAAGAAATGGCATCAGTGATGATTAGAAATCAGTCCTCTGGAGACTACAGACATTCATATATTCATTAAACATTCATTTGGCTGACAGTCAGAAAAAATGCCACTAGTTCTAGGAAATACGAAAATCTGTTGCATAAAGACGGAAAATACAACTCTTTAAAAAGAATGAGTAACTACACATTTAAATCAGATTCAGTCTTTAGCTTCATGTGGGGCTAGAACAGGGGCAAGCAAAATATGACTCATGGGTTAAATTCAGCCTGCCAGGCAATTTCATCCAGCCAGTGGGCAGGCTCCCAATTAATGAATTAATTAGTTGCATCTGGCTCAGCCCATATCTGCCCATGCTGCACTCTTCATGCAGCCAAGCCATACCCACTCCTGCCGAGGCAGCACATTATGCTCCCACCCTCACCCACAGGAAGGCATAGTTTCTAGGAGAAGCTGCTGCTGCTGCTGCTGCCAACACCCAGGGAACTGCAAGGGAGAGTCCTGAGAGATGGAACCAGCAGCCTTCCCCACCTTCTGCCACAACATGAACCTACTGGGACTTCACCGGGAGCAGCAGGGAACCCTATGCAATGGAGCTAGGCCACCTCAGTCCTGATCCCAGCTGCCTCAGCCGAGACCCAAGAGCTGAGCATGGTGGAAAGCAATAGGGCCAGGCTGCTGGCTCCATCATGTGGGACTCTGCCACCCCCCTGCCAGTGTGCAGCTCGGGCTGAGTCCTGTGAGCTGCATGAGAGCCACAGGGAGCACTGTGTGATGAAGCTGGGCCAGCCGGGCCCCGCTTCCCACTGCAATGTGCAGCTCCCAGGACTCAGCTGGAGCTATGTGCTGCTGGGGGCGGTGGGGGGTCCACCTGCGCAGGCCATGAGTGCCCCAAGGACCCATCACCTGCTGCTGCTGACGCCAATAGCAGGGGCTGTGTGCCTTGGAGGGCAGGGGGCATACATCCATACCACCATACCTATACCCCCCACACCTTCTCCCCACACCCACCCAACAAGCCCCACACCCACCTGCACCCTCACCCACACCTCCTTCACACACCCTCCCCCATATCTCCTCACACACACAGCCACCCCCCCACAAACTCCATACCTAACCTCTAATCACACCCACACACAACATGTAAGAGGAAGACTTTATTTTGAGCTATTATGCAATTGCCTCTATATACATTCAACAAATGCACATAAATCAGGATAAAAATATTTTTTGACATAAAATCAAAATGTGTTATAGTACATATTTGGTTTTTACAAGATCTGTTTGTAAAGGGGGTGGCAGAGTCCCACATGATGGAGCCAAGATTTGTTTGTTTTTTCCCCCAGTTCCAAGATGACAAGCCCCCTCCACCCAAAAGGAGTATTTATGGGGGCAGGACTTCCAGTGGCAAAGGTCAGGGGTCAGGGACAGGACGTCCGGTCCCAAGATGGCGACCAGGGGACGAGGTCACCTATGGCCCTCGATAGTTCACCAAAACTCATTAAGCGCTGCCCAGCCAAAATAATTGCCCAACCCTGGCCTAGAATCTTATTTTCTCCTTAATCCCGAAATCTGATCTGAGATCTACAGACTAGCTCTCAGCTCCTTATACATATGAGCATTCCAATGTAAGGAGTCAGAAGGCAGGGCAGGATGGTACCATATAAAGACTAACTGGTTCAGATGCATGAGCTTTCATAGGCAACAGTCTACTTCACCATATGCTAAGGAGAACAAAATACTCTAATACAGATGTGCTGGATCTATACAAGAAAAGCATTTAAATACTAGAGATTATGCTGCAAACATAGGTTCCTGTTTTATGACTGGCCCTGAGCAAAGGCACCAGGAAGCATATCATAAGAATTTCTTTCCTGTTTTTATCCTTGTCACCTACACTGGGCAGGTGGAATAGTACATTTGCTCCTTCTCCATGGCCATTCAAGACCCTACTCAAAGAGTATGCAGATGCCATGTACCTTGATGCCTTTTGCATGGGCAAGTAGCAGTATTAAGACTATAATGTGTGAGCTATGTTATGTTCATAAACTATTAGCAGCTGATGGATGAACTGCAAAACTGCATCATTTATAATTAAAAGCTAAACTGACTTTGCATCTTTCAACAGATTTCTAAACATGGAAACAGAAGCTGTCTTTTGTGCCACCCTAAAATGTTTACAGTGGTACAAAAGATGCCCATATCCCTTGTTGCACTACATACAGTGGCTGCCACAAAGGTGGTATTAATTTGTGTTGCTGTTTAGCAGAGGACATCTTTTTCCTTTACAGTGCAAGAAGCCCAGAGCTGCCCGTGCTCTCCAGCCACCCAAGGGAAGTGCTCCAGGGACTTGAGGGGTCCAACTGTGCACACCCTGGGAATTCCTGTACAGGATTGAGCCCCTCAAGCTTGAGAAGGGCCTGCCTGACTGTCCTGGATTACTGAGACCTCTCCCCCCTCAAATCTCTAGGAACGTGTCTTGTTAAAGCAAGAAATACCTGTCTTTCTCCACTTATTGAAGAGCAACCCGGAGATCCTGGGGATGTGTCTTGATAAGTGGGGAAAGCAGGGCAGGCACTCATAGGGCTTGAGAGACCTGATCCTGTGTGGGAATTCCTGGGGTGCAAAGGAATGGGCCACTCAATGCCTGGGAGAACACGTCAGCCATTGTCCCCTTAGCATCAATGGGCAGGACAACAGGAGACATGTTTAAGCCAATGAAATGGATCAGCTGTGCTGGGATGCATCCCAGGACAGCAGATTCATTTCATTTGGCAACATCTATTTCTACCCTTAGGCACAAAAGCAAGGCTCATAATTATAGCCACACTGGGCATACACTGCTAAGTC